CTGCCCAGTTCCTGGCAACCAGTGATGTCACTAGGCGGGACGCCGTCCAGAGCTGGGCATAGAGATGATGCAGAGGTCCAAATGCGCCCCCGGCAATTTTCCCACCCCACCCGGAGTATGCACCACCAGCAACAACCCCCCGGCCTCAGGTGGGAGGACTTTAAATAAAATATTTTGCATTTTTACAATTTTTTCGTGTTACTTTAATTTTTGTAAACACTTTTTAAAGACCCCTAATGTCACTAAGAGCCAGATAATGTAAACAGTGACACAGGAAGTGATGTAATACACATCACTTCCGGGTCCAGTGATCGAAGGAGATCAGCAGCTAGAAGCCTGCTGATCTCTCTCTGATCGATGCAGGAAGACCTGCCGTGTTGGTCTTGGGCCCGCACAGGGGACAGCGGAGCCTGGGGTAGCCAGCACACTGCGCCGATCGGTACAAGCGATCAGGCAGCTGTATAGATGCCGGATCGCTTGTATTTAAACAGCAATCACCTGCTGTTTACAACGGCACCAAGAACACGGCTGCGGCAGCTGTGTTTTCGGTATAACCACTTCAGAGGCCAGCCGTATATGTACGGCCACCCGCAGGAAGTAGTTAATATGTATGAAGGATGCAATCACTAAACCTCGTGCACAGGAAGTGAATTTTCGGCGATTCAGCATGAATCAGCCAAAATTAGCTCCGTTGGCGACCCTATTGCATGGGCAGACGTTGATCATTAAATTTACTTTTGCAGAAGGAACATGTTGGTTAACCTTTGCCCAAATGGCTCTTAAAGCAATCAGCGGCCACAGGCAATACAATGTAATCCGCTGTTATATTTTCTTTGTTCAGCCTGCATATTGAATAAAGAAAATATAACAGTCTATACCTTACTTAAGTCACTGCTGGGTGGGGGTGAGGGATTACTGTAGAGTGCCTCCTGTAGGCGCCGGCTGTCAGAATACAATAGGTGGCAGAAGAAATTCCTCTACCTGTGCTATTTAGCTTGGATGGAGAAAATCGAGTGAACAAGAACAAAATCTTACAGTGTATGACCAGGCTTGTCATGTGTGTTCTGTTGACTTTTTGAAGGATCCTATTAAAGGGAATTTAGCTCAACCACAAGTGAGTCTTAATGGAAACCTTGTATTTTCTCACACTGGAGTGTTCTGGAAACACATGACAACACCGATGGTGAAAATGAACCTTGGAGGACACTTGTCATAACAGTAACACATAGGCTGCCATTGCTGACTTTGTGAAAATGTCAGCTGCCTGGCTGCGTCTGGTTTTGGTTCTACTGTCTCTGAATCACTGATCTAGAACAAAGAAAGTGTAAATAAAAGTTTATCTAAAGGATGGCTGGGCAAATTAATTTGGAATTCTGGTGCCAGCAGGATTTTTTTTTTTTTAGGAGACAGCTCCAAATTTCCTGTGAATCGGCTAAAATTCTAACCGTGCATGGCCAACCTAAAGCGGACCTTCACACTCAAAAATCTAATTCTACCAATGCATCCCTCTGTGTATGATGATTAATAATATCATAGAAATGTCAGGTGTAAAATGCTGTGATTGTGAAATACTTACACTTGCAGAGCATTCACTTCCTGCTTTGAAAGGGCAAAATGAGTTTAGTTTCCCAAAGCAATGCACACTGGGATTGCCTTGTCATCAGTAGAGCATTGCTGGGAAATCTCATCTGAAATCTCACGAGATCTCAGGGAAATGTATTTTCCTCCCCTGAGATGATGTGCATGGTCACATGTCCTTGTCACATGTGCCAGAAATCCAGGAAGTAAAAGGAGAGCTAGTAATCTGCCCTTAATAAACAAGGCCACTGTCAGAAGACTGCGGAAGAAAAGAGAAATCAGGCATGCAAAGAATACAAAGCCGGCAATTCTCTAGAAGTATGTGTTTGTAGATTGTCATTACTAAACATTTCCAAAGGTATCTTTGTTGTTATTTTAAAGATATGGGTAAATGTCCTTTTAAAGGAGGGATTTCTCTCTCTATGGAGAGATTTACTCTCACTTCATGGTGTATCTACAGCAGGGGTGCCCACAATGTATTGTGTTAAGATCTACTTTTCAAAGGACAAGCTACATGAGATCTACCAACGAAAACAATAACCTACCTCGCTCTCTCTCTCTCTCTCCTGGCTCTCTCTCCTTGCTCTACTGGCTGTCTCTCCTCACTCTCCTGGCTGTCTCTCCTTGCTCATCTTCCTGACTGTCTTTCCTCGCTCTCTCTCACCTGGCTGTCATTCCTTGTTTTTTCTCCTGGCTGTCTCTCTTCGATCTCTTGGCTGTCTCTCCTTGCTCTCTCTTTCCTGGCTGTCTCTCCTCTCTCTCTTTCCTGGCTGTCTCTCCTCTCTCTCTCTCCCCCCGCTCTCTCTCTCCTGGATCACCTTGCTGTATTTTGCAACAGGCTGTGTAAACTAATATTCTTTGATGTAATACATAGCACTTCAACCACCAGAATCCACCAGAAAGGTGTCAGGGAGCTTGGCTCCGCAGACTCAGGCTAATAGGTAATCATGTGTGCACAGCTAAATAAATATACCAAAATGGAATAAAGGGGCCGCCATTCACACCCTTTGTGATCTACCAGCATCAGCTTTGAGAGCTACTGGTAGATCACGATCTACCTAAAGGGCACCCCTGATCTACAGGATGGGAAGTTAATGGAAATCTCTCTCCTGTGGGACACAGATAACAAAAAAACTTGACAGGGTTTTTTTTTTAACCATTTTTTACTCTATACAAAATGAAAAAAAAAAAAAAAAAGACTTTGCTTCAGCTATTCTCACATATAGAACTTATCTACGGATTTGTTCCAGGTCAGCAAATGGGCAAATGATGTTCACTAGTATAGGGGCATATCACTACAAAATGTTCAAATGAATATTTGCATGACGCTTAACGGTCACTTCCTTCAATGGAAGAGTATTGGAAAGAGGTTTTCCCAGTCTTGAAAAATGTAAAGTCTGCCAACATCTCCCCACTTGATCTACTACTCAGATATTTGAGCACACGGAGCTCCAAACAGCTCTGTGGCTACCAAGATTTAGAGGGCTGTTTGAGTCTCTTCAGTTGTACACAGATCACCATCGGAAACTCACTTCTAGAGCATTTCCGGGTGGCCTCAGGCATCAGTTGTGGAGGATCTGCTGAAGTCTAGAAGTTCCATGTTTTGGTAGACTCACAACTTCCAACCACAACAGCTGATCAGCAGAAGTCCCAAATGGGAAGGTCCCCAACATGCAGAGGGGGCGGCTCCAACTTTCATACTACTAAATAGTATTATTATGAATACAATGTGTTGTGCAGATGTATATCTGAATAGCAAAGATGTCAAAACCATTGAGAAATAAGACCCAACCTTGAAACATAATAGTTGGATAGTTGGACATTTGTATGAGTATTAATATTATGAAACAACTGTCGGTATTTGCTGATGTTGACTTTTCTAGATTGTATTTATTATTTTTTGTTGTTTTTTTTCTATTTTATGTTTTTGTAAGAACTATAAAACCATCAAGAGACTGTTAGAGATCAGCATGTAAGAGTTTGCAGTTATGCTTGCTTTGTACAGTGCTGCAGAATAGGTTTCTGCTACAGAACTCATTCATAATATATGATGGGGATTTATAGAATATGGATGTATAATTATCAGCATTATTATTAGCAGTATTAATAATTATTATCATCATGTCTGATCAAGAAATGCAGATTTGTGAATGAAGTATAAAAAGAAAGAACGTAACCCAGGAACAGTAATATACAGCAGCTTACCAGTCCTTTGATGCGATGGCTGCATTAGACTCTTACCCTATGCCTTTCACCGGGTGATCCTGCCAGTAACACACTTCTTGTCCTAGGGTGACAACACTCACCCACTGCACTGTATCATTGGAAAGTCATTGTGGTCACCTTAGTGGAGGAATATAAAAGTCCTCCCCCTCTCCTCTTCGTCATAACATAGGTGGGAGGTGTTCTGTAGTCCATAAGGATAGCTAACTGATAACACTCAGCAGCGGAGAAAAGCACAGAAAAGTTATCAGCTCACTAGTTTTACTGGCAGGACCAACTGTACTTTTCTGTACTTTTTGAACAAATATGGTACAGATAATAGACCAAAAGGTAGCAAAAGAGAAGTTCACTGTTAGGGCTCATTCCCATGCACGCAATACAGATGTATGGGCATACAGCTTACAACAAGCATGTATTTATGGCACCCAGGAGTCTCATATGTTGCAATGGGTTGTATGGGCACAATACGCTGTACGTGGGTGAGCACGTGTAAATGCATAACTTACGCCCATACACGTGTGAACGCCGCTGCCTGCGCATACACACGTACACCCACTTACAGCGTATTTTGTCCACACAATCCTAGGGACACAAAAACGCAACAGCTGGGGCTCCCGGGTGCCAGAAATACAGGCATATTCTATGCCCTATGCCCATATATTTGTATTTGCGTGCATAGGAATGACCCCTAAGAATGAACTTCTCCTTATTGCTACTTTTAGGTCTGTTATGTGTACCATTACAAGTGTTTTGTATAGTCGTCCATGTGAATGAGCCCTTTAGGGTTTAGATAAAAAAGATGATTGTATATAATAAACACACACAACTATATTATAAAACTATTAAAAGAACAGGATGTAACAAAGTAACAATCCTTGATCAAACAGTCCTCCCCAGGAAACTTGATTGCATGAGGCTGCACACATAAAATGCTCACAGGGCACATTTCCAGACAAAGACTTTTCCTAATGGCACCAGAAATATTTCTTTGTTTTGTTTCAATCTGTGCTTAAAATTCAAAGCTAGCCCAGGAGCCCTTGATTAAGCCCAGATTCCCTGAGCTGAGTAACAAACCCTAGACACACTTCCCTGCAACTTCTCTCCTACTCATGTCACACAGTTCAGCATCAGCAGTCTAGCAAAGTGTTAATGAGGCACTCAAGATCATGACATCAAAGTGAAGTAGTAGCCATCATTACCTTGTCTCCTAGGGGTAGCAGCCTTTTTGGAGCAGAAAGTAAATCCAATGCAAAGACTCAGCAGCAGTGAACACATCCAGGTGGGCTTTCCTAGCAGATCCATCTGGAAAGCAGATTTAAAGGAGGGGTTGGGAAATATAAAAAAGAAAAAGCTATTGTGACACAAAGTAGAACCCTGAAAAGAATCTTGAGGACCCCCAGTCTGTGACACGGACAGGATCCAGACAGCAGTGGTGGGAAGGGATGGTCAGGAACCCAGTAGATTTAGCACATGTGGGAGGAGGGGGGTGGTTGAGGCAGCCTAGGAGGGGCTCCCAGTCCGATTACATCCTACAAACAGCACAAGAAAGCAATTTACAACGTGTGTCTCTTCAGAGAACACCCATTTCCTCCCACCCACTCCAGACTACATCCCAAATTCACCAGCTGCCCCCCTCCCACCACTTCTCAGCATCTCCTGAACTTCTGATGGTGACCCTTCCCTGGTCTGCACTTCCAGCAGAAGAATGGACAGTCGAGGCTGGGCTGTGTGGAGTTAAGAAGATAACCCGCATTAATCTCCCAGATGGAGCTCTGAGATTGCTCCAGCCACTCAGACTAATAAACAACACGGAGAGATTAGGAGACACGGAGGATGGACGAGAGGCAGCTGAGTGGCAGGGGACCGCTCGGAGAATGTCACCTCTCCCATGGAGACCATTGATCGGGAAGGATCCCTCTACACTGCCAGGCACTCCGTCCAACAGGAGCATTTCATGTCCGCAAAAAGCTTTGATTGCCTAGAATTTGCGGGGATAGAAAACTCAAATGGCTTCTTACCAGTATAAGGACTGGGAAAGGGGGAGGGGGAGCTATCACTGACAAAACATGAGTCTGCCCCAAGAACTTACACTCCAATATGGGTGCCAAAGTTCTAAGATTGTATCTTGAGTAATGTGTTTGCTACATATCAACCAGCCCCTAAATTCGCTATCTCATATCAGTCAGACTATCATCTATCTATCTGTCTGTCTATCTATCTATCTATCTATCTATCTATCTATCTATCTATCTATCTATCTATCATCAATATATCAGTATTCTATGTACTGTATCATGTCAACCAGCCCCTTAATTATGTTTTAATCTCATATGAGTCAATTCACCTATTTATCATATATCAACCAGCCCGTTAATTAGCTATTTTATATTCTAGCTGTCTATCTCTCTCCCTGTCTCTTTCTCACTATCAGTCAGTATTCTACTATAGGTCAACCAGCCTCTTATTTAAGTTTTAATCTGACATGAGTTAATCTATCTATCTATCTATCTATCTATCTACAATTGTTTTCTATGTGCCTTGCTAACACCACAACATGGGTGTAATGTGCGGTGCAGGGCAATGCGCAAAAAAAGTGCTGCATTTTTCCACAGAGCAATGGACTGCACAGCAGAACAGTACACCATACACTCCAAATGAATTTTAAAAAAAAGTAAACAGTGTGATGCACTAGAAGAGCACATCATACCACCCACCAGAAATCATACAGCACATTAGCCTGCGCGCTAAAACTTAGTGTTTTTGAGGGAATCGAGAGAATATTCTCCATTTAGTCCGCCGAGTGCAGCAAGCTTAAAGGAGAACTATGAGGTGAGTGGTTTTCACTCACCTCATAGTTCTAGGGACCTGTGACAATGAGACTGTCACAGGTCGGCTCAGTAGATTCGGAAGTGAGCGAACACATACCGGTGTTCACTCACCTCTCGATCCTGTCACGGCTCTCTGCCGTGACAGGGGAGGGGCTGGATTCCCCCCTCCCCGCTCCGCCAGCGCTGACTGGCGGAACGGACGGGGGAGGGTACAGGTGGCTCTGCCTTTAGATGGGCAGAGACAGCTGTCAGTCACGCAGCTGGGTGGATCCAGACATAATTGTCGGGATCCGCTTCAACTGCGGCATCTCACTATACCTCGAGTAGCTGCTTGCTGTATACTGCGGCTTATCAGTATACCGCGAGCTACAGCTCGCGGTATACTGAGCCTAGGGTGACGGGAGGACGCTAGTTTGTGTCCTCCCGTTACCCTAAGGAGAACTATGGGGAAAAGACTTAACCCCATAGTTCTCCTTTAAGGAACAAAGCATCTCTTATCAGTCAATAATGAATCTGGTTATGTGTTATTTATGTAATCTTTCATTTACCTAACATAAGTCAGCCAATTAATTAATCTAAATAGCATCCCTAAATCAGTCAATTAATTCAAAGATTATCTATCTATCTATCTATCTATCTATCTATCTATCTATCTATCTATCTATCTATCTATCTATCTATCTCATCTGGGTAGCTATATGTTATCTTTCTTTCTTCACTCTGTGTATATGTAATCTATGATCTACCTCACAAAAGTCAGCCAGTGACTTCATTAATCTATTATATACAACATATCAATCAGCCAATGAATCCATCAATTGATCTTTCTTTCTGTCTTTCGCAGGTGACAAGGAATAATCTGACTGCCGAAAAGGTCTTTGCAGAACATCTTACCATGACATGCATGCTTGGTTCAGCTGAGTCTGCATAATTATACCTTGAAGGAGGAGGAAGAGGAGAAAGACATCCCCAAAGGTAGCTATCTAAGGCTCCATTCACAAAGCGGTTGCATTTTTTGCACGTTTATCTGCGCAGCACGAAAACGTGCAAATTTTAAAATACATGCGGATTCCGCACGTTTGCGGCTACTACTATACTATGCAGAATATCGCCCACACAACGCGCAGGTGAGAACATGATACATTGGAATGTATTAGTTGTTATGTTTAGCGTGATTCCGTGTGTACGAATATGCACAGAAAACCGCTAATGTGTGAATGGAGCCTAAGGGGGAATATCCAAACCAGCCAATCCATTATTCCCACATTTTGTCTTTGGGTACCTTACAGAGACCCCGTCACCAACTTAAAAAAATTGCAGGTAAAATCACAGTTCAAGTATTTTAATTGCTTAGTTTCCATATTTAAAAGAGAACTAAAGCTAAACCATTTTTTGGCTTTAGTTCTCTATTGGGTCAAAGGAGTATATTTGCTATTGTCCTCCTCAGCATATACTGCCGGGATATTGCCCGCTATTTGCTGACAGCGCAGAGCCGTGCTGAAGCCAGGAAAGATCCCAACAATATTATCAGGATCCACCCCGCTGCCTGATTGACAGTTGGGTCAGCCTCTCTGGAGCCAGAGCCAGCTGTGCCCGCCCCCTACTCTGTCTGCCTCTTCAATGAGCACTGGAGAAACAGAGAGGGGGGGGGGGATCCCTGCGGGGAGCAATAACTGACAGTCACTGCTCTCTGCAAGGAGAAACTGTGCGCTGAAGGATCAGCAGTTTGTGATCGCTCAGTTCTCTATCTATAGAGCTGCAGTGTCACACGCTGGCACTTTGATGTTTACATTTTACTCTCCTGATAGTTCCCCTTAAAGTGACAGCTCTGAGTCTGTTGGAGTTGCTGACATCTCATCCAATATGGAGGCACCCTGCAGCAGTCTCAGTGCTTTTGGACTTCTACACAGGGGAGGAATTTACAGGTAAAGAACATGCATAAAATGTAATAAATGTGCATATAATTGTATAGGAAGATTTTTTTTTTACATGAATTAGTCTGGTGACAGGCGTCTTTAAAGATGAACTCCAGTACCCCCACACCACAAGGGCTAACTGCTCAGTTCTCTCAAGGGGCCAGAATACAGAAGATATGCTCACCTGATCTTCGGTCCAGCGGCAGTGACCGCTCACCTTTCTCTCTCTCCCTCCGCTCCGGCTATGGTATGTCCCTCGCATCCTCAAGTCTAATGCAGGTAAATAGATATCCATTAGACGGATTGATGATGTCAGTGAGGCTTAGACCGCTGGAGCCCGGATAAGGTGGTGACCGGTCTAGCAGCCAGGCGTGCCTAAGGAATAAGTGAGTATATATATTTTTTTTATTTGAGCCCACTGGACTAAAATAAGCAGTTACCCTTGCAGTGCTGAGGTAGCCCCAACACAAGGGTTAACTTTTCAGATTCCTGGAGTTCCTCTTTAAAGTAAAATTGTCATTAGAGAAATATACACTATATTGCCAAAAGTATTGGGACACCCCTCCAAATCATTGGATTCAGGTGTTCCAATCACCTCCATGGCCACAGGTGTATAAAGCCAAGCACCTAGGCATGCAGACGCTTCTACAAACATTTGTGAAAGAATGGGTCGCTCTCAGGAGCTCTGTGGATTCAAGCGTGGTACCATGATAAGTTGCCATCTGTGCAATAAGTCCATCCGTGACATTTCATTGCTACTAAATATTCCACGATCAACTTTAGCCTTACATCACCAAGTGCAATGCAAAGCGTCGGATGGAGTGGTGTAAAGCACGCCGCCACTGGACTCTAGAGTGGAGACGTGTGCTGTAGAGTGATGAATCACGCTTCTCTATCTGGCAATCCGATGGACATGTCTGGGTTTGGCGGTTGCCAGAAGAACGATATTTGTCTGACTGCATTGTGCCAAGTGTAAAGTTTGGTGGAGGGGGGATTATGGTGTGGGGTTGTTTTTCAGCGGTTGGGCTTGGCCCATTAGTTCCAGTGAAGGGATCTCTTAAGGCATCAGCATACCAAGACATTTTGGACAATTTCATGCTCCCAACTTTGTGGGAACAGTTTGGGGATGGCCCCTTCCTGTTCCAACATGACTGCGCACCAGTGCACAAAGCAAAGTCCATAAAGACATGGATGAGCGAGTTTGGGGTGGAGGAACTTGACTGGCCTGCACAGAGTCCTGACCTCAACCCAATAGAACACCTTTGTGATGAATTAGAGCGGAGACTGCGAGGCTGGCCTTCTCGTCCAACATCAGTACCTGACCTCACAAATGCTCTTCTGGAAGAATGGTCCAACATTCCCATAGACACACTCCTAAACCTTGTGGACGCCTTCCCAGAAGAGTTGAAGCTGCTATAACGCAAAGGGTGGGCCAACTCAATATTGAGCCCTATGGACTAAGACTGGGATGCCATTAAAGTTCATGTGCGTGTAAAGGCAGGCGTCCCAATACTTTTGGCAATATAGTGCTGTTGAACTGAATGTAGGACATTCTCATCCTACATTCTCACTATATAGTGAGTCACTTTCCTTGAACAAGCATACAGGCAGGTATCATTGATATTACTGACTGCTTCCTTATTAAATGTTTCCTTC